GAGATGAACAGATGTGAGCCGGGCTCAGCGCTAACCTGCTGCTGTCCTGGAGAGATCCGCCAGGCGGGGAGTCCATGGGCGAACCGGAGCACAGCCACCATATAAACAGATACCGAGAATGACTCCCGGCATACAGGACAGGAGAAGTTGTACTGTGCAGAGTCCATACATACAGAATAGGGATGGATACTGAGAATGACACCCGGCATACAGGACCAGAGAAGTGGTACTGTGCAGAGTCCATACATACAGAATAGGGATGGATACTGAGAATGACACCCGGCATACAGGACCAGAGAAGTGGTACTGTGCAGAGTCCATACATACAGAATAGGGATGGATACTGAGAATGACACCCGGCATACAGGACCAGAGAAGTGGTACTGTGCAGAGTCCATACACACAGAATAAGAACAGATACCGAGAATGATACCCGGCATACAGGACAGGAGAAGTGGTACTGTGCAGAGTCCATACATACAGAATAGGGATGGATACTGAAAATGACACCCGGCATACAGGACAAGAGAAGTGGTATTGTGCAGATTCCATACACACAGAAAAAGAACAGATACCGAGAATGACACCCGGCATACAGGACAAGAGAAGTGGTACTGTGCAGAGTCCATACATACAGAATAAGAACAGATACCGAGTATGACACCCGGCATACAGCACAAGAGAAGTTGTACTGTGCAGAGTCCATACATACAGAATAGGGATGGATACTGAGAATGACACCCGGCATACAGGACCAGAGAAGTGGTACTGTGCAGAGTCCATACACACAGAATAAGAACAGATACCGAGAATGATACCCGGCATACAGGACAGGAGAAGTGGTACTGTGCAGAGTCCATACATACAGAATAGGGATGGATACTGAAAATGACACCCGGCATACAGGACAAGAGAAGTGGTACTGTGCAGAGTCCATACATACAGAATAGTGATGGATACTGAGAGTCACCCTAATCACTTGGAGCCCCAGGATACAGTTTAGAATCACCTCTGGGCTATATGTTCAGATTGATAGATCCAGCAATTGCAAGCCGGTTCTTATTATAATGGTGACATTGTTATTCAATCATCACTAATCCATTTACATCATTCATTAACCTTATTAGCGTGCTGTGCGCGTGACACGACTCAAAGGCTAATGATGAATTAGCGGGGCGTCTCCCGGCCATGTGACCAGGACGAGTCATTATTAGTATGGCTGTGCGGTATCATCGCACTCCACGCACAGCATCCAACACACATCTTCTTCACCCATCCTAACCTGAACCAGCTGTGGACTGAGCGTACTACACACCCCTAAAAAACCCGGGCGCCACCTCGGATATAGGAGAAGCTGTAAAGCTGCTGCTGCCAAAAGAAAAGACCATCTGACACAGTGTTTATAAACATTGATCAGAGGGAGATAGAGAGATACAAAGTAACATTGTATATAGACATTGATCAGAGGGAGATAGAGAGATACAAAGTAACATTGTTTATAAACATTGATGAGAGGGAGATAGAGAGATACAAAGTAACATTGTATATAGACATTGATCAGAGGGAGATAGAGAGATACAAAGTAACATTGTTTATAAACATTGATCAGAGGGAGATAGAGAGATACAACGTTACTTTTTTATCTACTCTTTTTCATTAACCTCCATGTGCATATGATATCTGTTAAAGTAACCCGACAAGTGAGAATTTTTTTTTTTTTTGTAAAATGTGTTTTACCTCTTTGTTTACCGTAATCTTTCCTATGTCACCTCTTCTCCCCATAGCTATTTTTTTCCTGATTATTTTTTTATTTCCATTTTTCTAAAGAAATTGTGTTTGTGGGCACTCAAATTCTTTTTAGTGCATCTTTTCCTAAAATTACTGATTTGATCAACATATACAGAAATATCATGACACATAAAAAAAATTCAGCTACAGCCTCATTATAGGGACGGCCTTGGGTGGAGTTTCGTTTCAGAATGTGACAAAGTTCTGAACCAGAAACTTATATGAAAGAACACATCTCCGTCCTTCCTTCAAAAGTAAATGCTTCTCACTGCTGCCCTACATTGCTGCAGACTTAGGCCTTGTTCACACCATAGCAGTGCGTTCCTGCCCGATTCTGGCCGGAACGCACTGCCTCGCATTGCGGCCGGCTCACTTTGTTGTCGGGCAGGAGTGAGCTTGGCGGGCCATTGAATTGAATGATCACCCGCATGGGATCGCAAGGCACATTGTGCCTACGGTGCAGCATCTTGATTGCACCGGACCGCGGGCACAATGTGCGGGAGATCGCATTGCGGCTGGAGGGCGTGGCTACGGTGCCATTCAATTCAATGGCCCGCCACGCCCCCTCCTGCCCAACAAAAGAGTGAACAGGTGGCAATGCGGGGCAGTGCGTTCCGGCCAGAATCGGGCAGGAACGCACTGCATATGATGTGAACGAGGCCTTAGGGCAGGTTCACACCAGATCTGGTCCGTAAAATGGTGCCCGCAGTTCCAGTGCATTCTAGACCAGACAAAATGATCCATGCATTATTTTTCTGGTCTGGTCTGGAATGGACTGCGCTGGTGTGAACAGAGTCCAGAAATAGCATAGGGATACATTAGAATGCATTTTGGGTCCGGAAACAATCTGGTCTGGTCTGGAGATGATCTGGATGTGGTGTGAATGGGCTCTCAAGCTGTGTAATCTGCTGATAAGTTGCTTGATTACACTCCCGCAGAGCTGCCACTAGAACAGACAGACTTCACCTTTAAGAACACGGCTGTTTTCTGATGTTGTCGCCACCAACTAAAGTTTCATTTGAAAGCAGAAAGAAAAAAAAAATCCTCCGGCCCGTCGATAAGCGTGGAGTTTATACCGGCGGCTGTTAGCAAACATCTTTTCATAATAAAACAAATTAATAAA